ACGAAGGAGATAATCGCGGACGGTTTAACGAAGGCACTACCGGAGGAAGGAATCAAAAGACTACAGTAATAGCTTAATTTAACGGATTAAAAGGACCGTATCGAGTAGTCTAAACGACTACACGAAGAGATTAAACGCGCTAAAGCCACGGCCGCAGTAACGACGAAGGCCTCCGAGGGCGTAGCAGATCCGATAGATATAGATCCGATTAAGCAGATCCGGCCAATCAGGATCGAGGAACTAAATAAGATAGAATTAAATTAAACGGTTAAATAGGGCGGATTTAGATCCCTTTTACGAGGGCGTTTTCCCTTAACTATTAATTTTACGATAGAAAAGTTAAGAGCGTTTGGTTTAAACCGAAGCCTCTGATTAGTTAGTTAACCTGGGAAGACCCACCTTAACTAAGGGGGTGTGTCGTATAGGCAGGATCACGATATAGTCTATAGGGGATCTAGGGAAGATCCACTCTATAACTAAGGGCTCCGGATATCAGGGACTTCGGGTATCAGGATATAATAAGGGTGGATACCGGAAAAGACCGGATAGGATCTAAATAACATAGTACCCATAATAGAGTCTTCACCACCCAAATTAAGGGTATAAGAGACTCTCCCAGATAACTTAATAGAATACACACATATAAGATTTCTGCTCTACTAAGTTGATCATTTAAGTGCCTTTTAACGTGCGATAGCTCGGCGCTGCCTGGGTATAGTGTGTCGAGTGAATATGCTTTTTTGACGCGCTAATTACCGAAAATTTAGAGCGCTATATAGAAAAAATTAGTTAAAGCTATCTAGTTAGTTTATAAATAGAAATATACTTATATTAAAATAGAGCTCGCCCCCTTCTTCTATATACTGGTAGAAGACCTCTCCTGCTACTAGGATAACCCTGCTACTCTTAAAGGAGTGTTAGTAAACTATAGTGTATTAGATTAACTCGTATACTTATACTATCGGTCTCGAACTCGGGGAGGGTTCTATACCGTTTACCGTTATTCTCGCCGGTAGTATACTATTTATATACGTCTATCTATCGGTAGTTAGAGGGTATTATCGAAAAAATTATTAAGGAGTTCCTAGTAAGAGTTAGAAACGTTTCTAAATCGTTTCCTAATCGTTTCCGACGCTTTTCGAGATATAAAACACGAAAGAATTAATTCTAATAGGAAAATATACCTAAAGATAATAAAAAAGATACTTAAATTAATATAGTTAATAAAAAAAGAATTAATAGAAGTAAATAGTGATAGCCTAAAAACACACTCTATAAAAATATAGAGTGGTGGTGAAAGGAAAGAGATACGAAAACGTTATTAGTACGAAAAAGAGGGGAATAACACGTTAACGTGTTATAACGCGACTTATAATGCCTAGGGAAACGTCTCCCCTATACCGGTATTCCGGTATTCCGCTATTCGACCAATTAAAACTTAGACCCACACCTACCCTCAGCTTAACTTTTCCCAGCCACCCCCCCACACCTACCCTTAGCTTAGCCTCCTAGTTAGATATCAGTTTACATATAGTCTCCCTAATACCTCGTCTTATCACCACATCGCAGCGTTGATCCACTGCTAAACCGTAGCCTCAGGGGAGCCCTGGAACCCTCTATAGGTGGGTCGTTGAGCATCCGTCCCAAGAACCGCCATCTCGGGGAGCAGACCCATGGTCCATAGTGGGACGCTACGTGGTGGGACGCTATGTGGCTGATCCTTAGCCAAGGCCGGTTCTTCTTCCTCAAAACTCCATCGACATCAAGATGAATCATCTTGGAAGGCATCTCACTGCACTCAGTGTCGTTATCGTCAGGAGATGGGCTCATGAATCCCAGCGAAACCCTCCTCAATAACCACATCATTAACCATCTACTAACGAATAAGTAAGGGCATTATCCGGATCCCCGGTCAGGTACAACGTAAATTGTTCTTCATCTCTCGTTCACTTGACAACTGTCCATGTTAGAACATATGCTCTCTCGAGTCCTTATCAAGACATCTCAACATATCCCAGGCTACTAGACCCCTGACGTGGAGGAGACCACCTAACAGCAGACCATCTCCGCGTGTCATGCTCAACCTCTGACGAACCTCACTCCCCCGCAGCAATCCTATAATGCTACCCCAGAGACCCGTTATTACACGGAACGAACCACCCTGTCCCATCGGAGAGGCGAAGGATCTCATCTCTCATCTCATGCAGCCCTAGCCCCCTGCCTTCTCTCTCCCCGGTCCCCCCCTTTCGCTTTCCCCTCCCGGTCTAGAACAATTCACTTGGGTACCTAGTCCGCAGGCCATACCGTGGGTATCTCTAATCATCTTCATCATCATCCTGGTGTCTCGAGACTCCCTCCTCTCCAAATCCCGCCAGTACGGTAACCGGTACCGGTGCCGGTGCGATGCCCGGCATAATACGCTAGATCCCGCCCTGGGGGAAAAGGGGGAAGAAGAAAAAAAGAAGAAAAAAAAGAGAGACGCTATTCATGTGCCCTATGCTATATGCCATGCCAAGCCAAGCCAAGCCAAGTCATGCCATGCAATGATTTCCTCCTATTTTCTTTTTCTTTCTTTTGCTTTTTTTCGGTACTTTTCCAAGTACTGTCGTTCCTGGTCATGCGTTTTCTCGCCCGGGCCGATGCATCCACTAAAAGTTCATCTTAGCCAGCCTGGAGGGCCCCTTGACGGGAGCTGGTAGGCACTGGCATAAGCGATCCCGATCTGCACGTATATCCGTTAGCTCAGCACACGTTTTCCTAGGCGATTCCTTGTCGACATACCGGCCTCCTTCTCGAAAAGCAATGCAATGTCGTCGTGCTCCCCCGGCAAGTCCGGCAAGTCGAGGCAAACCGTGCCCATATCGTCCGTCGGCCCCTCGCCGTCCTGCGGCACGCGCGGCAGCGGGAACTTGGCATCCACCAGCCGCAACCCGGCCTTCCCGCCGCGCGAGAACGTCTCGAACACGTCCGTCCCCTTGAGCACGAAGCTCATGCACTGCCCGTGCTGGAAGTCCGGGAAAAACGCCAGCAGCTGCATCGCCTTGTCCTGCTGCACCACCTGGATCCGCGTCCACCCGGCGTCCCACTTCTTGTGGATCGGCACCACCATGCGCCGCCGCGAAATCGCGAACCCCGCCGCCAGCCCGTCGAACCGGACCTGGAACCCCGTCAGCGCCGCCTGGAAGCCGTGGAGGTCCTGCAGGCTGGGGAACGCGAACGTCCGGACCGTCTGCGCCGTCTGCAACACCTGCAGCGTCTCGGCGATTTCCTTGGCCACCTCCCTGCTGAGCTGCGCTTCCGAGATGGCCACCGTCATGTCCAACTGCGGCCGCCGCATCACCCTCAGCGTTTTTGTGTTGTTCACCTCGAGCCGCAGCCTGAGCTCGCCCGTCTCCACGTTCACCCGGTCGGTGATGGTCCCGACCTTGGAGTCGATGACGAGCTTCAGCTTGTCCGACAGGACCGTCGGCGCCATCTCGTCGCCCCCGTGGTCGTCGTTGACCACCCTGACCGTCTTCCACGGCAGTCTGTTGATCCCCGGTAGGCCCTGCGTGTCGGTCAGGGACCGGCCCAGGGAGAACCCCGTCAAGGGCACGTCTGCGTAGATGGTCTCGTCGTGGAGCACCGCCGTTCCCGTGAGGAGCGTGTGGAACCGGACCCTCTCCGTCTCGTCGTTAAACGAGAGCACCGCCGATCCCTTGTGCCGTCCGCCGTCGTCGCACTTGAGCAGCAGCGCCGGATCGCCGCCGTCCCCTCGCAGGAAGCCGAACGAGACGGGTTGCTGCGGTGTCCAGCTCGGGTTGACTCCGCTCAGCGTCCTCGTCCTGGGCCCGGAGACGACCGCTAGGCGGAAGCCCCGGTGGAAGCTGCGAGGGCCCGTGGCGGACTTCTCTTTGCGTATCTTCTCGAACAACGCGACCTCGCAGGAAGGAACCGGCTCTTTGGGGAAGGCACGCGACTGGGGGTCCGCGTCGAAGTATTGGAACGTCCGGAGCGTGGACCGGGAGATGCACTGCTCGTCCGGGCGGGGGTACAGCGTGGCCTGCGTCTTGGAGCCAAAGTCGTACATGTTCCACAGGACCCTGAAATCTTGCTGCAGACATTGGACGGCGAGCTTGAACCCGCGGGGGAGCAGGACCTCGAGCACACACGTGTCTGTCTTCCATCGGACATCTTCCCACGTGGGCCCGGCGTTCCTGTTGTTCTGGATGCGAAGGTGAACGTGCCCGTTTTGACTCGACACGACAAAGACCACATCAGACTGCTTCTGGGGTCGGACCATGGATAGGAAACAAGGGAAGTGGAACGTCTGCGACTCCCGGCCTTGCTCCATAAGAAAGGCGTCGACGAGCACGCGGCCGAAGCAGAATACCTCGGCGGTGTCGCCGATGGGGAATGCGTCCAAGGCGTCAGCGGCCGAAGGGGGGTTCAGCACGCCGGAGATGGCGGCGGCCGCGTTCCCCGTGAGCAGCGCAACCATGTCTTGACTCAGCTTCGGGTACTCGATCCAGATGGATTTGTCGATGACCTGGGGCAGAAAAGCCTCTTCCGGAGGCAGGAGCCCGTTCCTCTTCATGGATCCGGCAAGCTTGGCCAGTCCAGAGCTCAACGTCCTTCGCACCTCTTCGACTTCGGGGTCGGGCGGCGACTGTCGGTTCGCCATAATTTCGGGGATCGCCTCCTCCAACAGCCAGTGACCCTTGGCCAGATTCGTGTGCGCTTGTTGCCTGTCAATCTCGCTCTGCATCTGATCCTGGGGGTTCGTTGGCCGTCCGCGGATGGCAACCTCTAGTCCCAACCTGCCCCGGAGGAACCACCAGAGGGCCGCTCTCGCGAGGTCGTGAGGGTCGCAGGCGGACACGGGCCGGACCGTCTCGGCGTGCAGTCTGAAGAGCTCGCTCAGGTGACGGGTGCGTTCGATGAACAGAAGAAGAGCGTCGTCCCCGCTGGGCGTGGTCACATCCGGTGTTTGAAAGGATCCCAGTCGGGAGAGGCTAGAGAACGATGTTGCTGATGCCGCCACGGGGCTGGGCTGATGATGTTGCTGTAGATGTTGCTGTGGATGTTGTTGTTGGTGGTGTTGAGGGAAGCTGGGCTGACGGGAGAAGTTCGGCTGCGGTGGTGGTGGTGGTGGTGGCTGCTGGTCGTAGCCGGTGCTGTTCATAGAGTATGTAGAAGAAGATGGGCTCTGCTCACGCGGGGCCGAGGCTCTCGTTCGTTGACTCTCGGGCGACCTCGGGACTGTGCTCATGGGCGTGGCGGATGCGACGGATGCGGCAGATGTAGCAGATACAGCAGATGCAGCAGAGGCAGCAGGTTCGCGAGACGTCTCAAACGGCGAATGCATGGCCTCCTCCCATTCTCGGTGAGACGCCACACTGGAACGCGCGGCCTCTGCAAACGCTTTACCTTCGGCCTGGCGCATTTCGGCCTGGTGAATCTCCAAGAAAGACCTTCTATTCTCGTCCTGCACCCTGTTCGTAGACGAGTCCAAGAACCTCGTGCGTGCAGCCGTACCGGGAACGACCTCTGGTTGCGGGTTGACCCTGGCCTTGACCGGGTTGCCGGCGGTGCTGTAACCAGTCTGCGTCCGGCGTATGGGGGGCGGGGAGAAGGTATCCGGTTCGGAGGGTCTTCGCGATGCATCGGGGGCGATGGAGGCGACGGAAGTGACGGAAGCGACGGGGTTGGGAGGGGCGGATAAAGGGAGTTGTCGCAGCTTCTTCTGCCTAGAGATCTCGATGCATGGGGTGGTGCATTCGTCACCGCCTTCGCCCATGATATCAGGCGGGGTATCGACAAAACGGACTATGAATCCTTTCCTGTTCCGCCTCGGGGAGCGAGCAGGGCTTTTGGAGCGGTTTCTTAGAGGGAGACTTTGTTGTGAAAAGGCTCCGATATCGTGTGCCTGGGGGTAGCGGGAAGCACTCCTGGTATCGAGTTTGGTGAGAGCGGGGAGACCCGACGACGGCGGGGCAATAGTAGGATGTAGGGCACTGGCTGGTGTGTGCAGGAAATCATGAACAGCATCTTCGGCAGCAGCAGGTTTACGTTCTTTTTCTTTGGGGCCGAAGAGCTTGCCCATCAAGCGTCCCCGGCGCGAGGAGCGGCCCTCCTCGGCTGGGTCGTTGTACATCGTTATCTCGTGCACGGAGGGGTTCGTATAGGTGTCATAGGAAAAGAGGGTCGAAATGCGCGCGTTATGAATCTGTTAGAAATGTTGTTTTGTTAATATCTGTTATTTCAGAGATGTATGGTCATGCCATGGGGCTTTGGGGGGGTTTACCTTTGTGAGGGCGTAGCTAATGATCGTGAGAAGCCCTTTGTAGAATTAGGTACCTAGCCAAGAAGCTAAGGTAGGGTCGACAATAAACGGAACAGACGACTCCTCCGACTCTAGCGAGGGGCGGCGAACCACCCAGGGCAGACCGGCCTTTCTAACAAACCACTCAAGTCGCAGCGCCAAGCAAGGGGACGAACCGGGGGTTTTTGTTGCTAATTAGGTATGTATTAGTTGGCGGCTGGCTGGATCGGAAGGTGGAGAGTGGCAGTGGCACCTTTAGATGGGAGGGAGATTGGGCAATTGAATGAGAAATGAGGGTGCAGCAGATTGTGACAGTGTGCAGTGGTGGTAGCCTCGGTGGGCACACATCTGCATCACAGGGGTTTTTTTGGTTGCCAAACCGAGGACCCAGCAAAAATGAATGAACAAACCAAAGGTCAGGGCAAGAAGATCAGAAAGAAGGGAGTGGTGGAGAAATAATGGAGAGCGATAGCCCCTTGGTTGTAGGAAAAAAGGATGGGAAGTTGTAGAGGTAATGACGCTGGCGAGTTGCTGTCCTGGTGTTGAGGGCTTTCGAAAATGCGGAGTATTCAGGTACCTGGGCTACGGAGTACTTTGTGAGTGACACAACGACCGGGCTCTAAGGTACCTTAGTATACTACCTGAGGTACCTTACCTTACTGAATGTTACCGTTATTAGAAGCGATACATTGTGGGATGCCGACAGGGCATCTACATCACACCTACCTCAACTACCTACTCTACCTTATATAGAGGCATAATATCTCGGCTTTTAAGCAATTTGATATTTTGTGTATCAAGTAACATGCTTGGCCACTACAACCTCACTACAACGTAGGTCCCTGGAGGCTTGCTTGAGAATATTCGTAGATGGGTACTTGTTGATAAGGCACGAAGCTGGGAAAAGAAGGGAAAAGAGCATTGTGCCCAGGGGTTTCAGGTTTTGGGTGGATCGCTGGACCAGTTCCACCCTTGGTCGTCAGGAGCAATCCAGTGGTCCCAGGCACTCGTGCGGGGGTCGCAGTCCTCCGTCCAAACATCACTGAATTTACAAAGTACCCGTACTTTGTACTTCGTACAGTACAATGTACGGGATACAGCATCCCAGTTATCGTCTCTGGTCCAATTCTCATCCAAAAGTTACCTACCTTACTTACCTCGGGCGAAATTAGGAGGTACCGAGTACGAATGGAGTGTCACAACCCGTCTCTGTACAAGATTACCTTAGGGAGAAGAGGGACAACTCAGCGATTGCAACTACCGCTGGCCTCCACGATACCAATCTCAAAGACACGCTGCATAGTAGCTCCGGACCGCATCTACGAATGTCTTCATGGCCCCTCAAAGCCGCATTCCTTACGGACACTGGGTCGTGGTTGATGGGCAGTAATACGGTGCAGGTACATGCAGTATCCTACGTATTTGTACTTTCAGGGTCCATACCGTTCGTTCCTTCTAATGATGATGGTCCCATAATAATATCCGTACCTCCTTGGCGCTTGTGTTTCAGGTTACGACATCTAGGTAAGGTACCTTCGGAAAGCCGTCGCGTGAGCTAATCGAATACTCGTCGTCATTATCTGAAATTCTGAATTATAAACAAAACACAATGATCAAATTCTCCAGCCCTTCCCGATATGTTCAACAAAAATCTCCGGATGAAGAGGCAAAACACGAGGAAAATACAAAGAAGTGAAGACGAGAAAGGAAAAGGACGAAGCTTCAACTAGACACACCAGAAACGGAAAGAACAAGAAGAGGGGGAAAAAAGGAGAAGAAAAAGAAGAAAAAAGGAAGAACAACCCCATCATGCTCGAACAAGTTGCCGCAGTCTCTTCTCAATCTTCTTCCTCCCCTCATACGTCTCCCACACCCGATGGGGCGCCTCGTCCACCACATCCCAATGCTGCGTGTTTCGCGTCAAATGCGTAAGGCCGCGCTGCTTGTCCTCCCAGCGCCGGTCCCGCCGCATCTTGACCCCCGAGCTGATCACCGTCACCGGCGTGTCCTCCCGCTGAATCGCCCGCGCGCTCTCCACGTCCCTCCGCGTCAGCGAATCCGCCACCAGCCCTTCCTGCAGCCAGGCGAAGATGAGCTTGCCCTCGCCCCCGGCCGACCGTCCCCACACCCGGTCTTTGCCGCCCCGACCGTGAAACAGAGCACCGGGTAGCTGTTCTAGTCCTAGCGGCGAGATGACCCCGCGGAGCCACAGCTCGAATCCGCGCCACGGCGACGCGATTCGTCCCAGTAGGTCTTCGTGTTCCGGGTCCACCAGAAGTATCCCCTTCACCTCCTCCCCGTGTCGCGCCGAGAAGACCCGCGAGTAGTGCGCGCCCGTCCCGGCGCTGAGCAGGACCCACGGTCCCGTCTCGCCCGCGCGCGCCAGCGCCTCGCTCAGGGCGTCCGTGGCCATGCCCGCCGAGAGCGGCGACGGCCCCGTGTCGCTCCACGCGTAGCCCGGCCTGTCGGCGAAGCAGTACCGCGAGATGGACCCGTTCTGCACGGCGTTGTCGGCCAGCTGCCAGAGCCCGTCCTCGACCGGCCACTCGCCGCCCTCCAGGAGCACGGTGGGCTCCTTTCCGCCCTTGGCGTTTGTTGTTGTGTTGGCGTCGCCGTGGCAGGAGAGGTGGATCTGGTACTTGCCACCGTCGACCCAGTACCTCTTCCCTGGCGGCGCCACCCCGGCGTCCAGGGCGCGTAGGATGAGTTTCGTGGTCATGAGGACGATGACGATGGTGAGGACGACGAAAGCGATGGTCGAGACGAGGACTTCTGTCCATTCGAATACGGTGCGTCGGGTCTCGACCCGACCCGTGAGCCGCTCTTCCTCCTCGGCCTTGCCCCATTTGACGGTTCGGTCGGCGAGGAGGGTCCATAGACTCATGGCCAGTGCCCCTTTCGTGAGGTGATGGTTAGGTTTTCTTCTTTTTCTTTTTTTCATTCTTTTTTTTCTTCCAATTCGGTTCATGCTCCTTTTTTGTTGACGATGTGCTGCCTACGCCCGTCTGCGCGGAGGGGGGTTGCGGTTGGGTTAGGGTGAGGTGCAACTTACAAATAACGCTGGTCATGCCAACCCATCTCTCCTCGTGTCGCGTCCGCTCGACAGAAACAGTAATAATCACATCGACAAAGAGAAGCACGGCCATGACGATACTCAGAATCCGCACCGCCCGTGACGGCACCGCGAAGAAGGCGAGCGTGAAGCAAATGTTGAACAGCGCCAGGCAGGCGTATCCAAAGGCGAAGAAGGGGGACCCTCTCGTGTACAGACCCGGTGGCGTCACGAATATGCTCACGAGGAGTAGCACCCACCACACGAACGTGAGGGCTGCGAACAGCACCGTCGCGTACCGCACGATGCGTACCGTCCACAGGTTGTAGGGGCTGACGGCCGGATCGTCGGGGTTCAGGAGGGGAGGTCGCTCGTCGGTCCGGTTCGGAAGGAGGCGCGTTCGCTCGGTGGGGGGAGCCGACGACGAGTCTCCCTGGCCGCCGTCGCCGTTTCCCGGGTGCCAAGGGTCGGATGACTCGCCAGCTTGGGAGTCGTCTGTTTTGTTTTTACCCCAGAGTGTCGACATGTTGGGGTTTGTCGATCGGATGACGGGGATTTGGTAAGACGAGTTTCCTTTCTCCTTTCCTTCTTTTTTTGTGTCACCTTTTTTTTAAAAAAAAAAATTAGACAAAATAATACACTTTTTCTCCACGTTTGTCTCTTTCTACCCTTTCCGGGTTGATCTGAACGACGAATTAGGACCGAAACAGCGATGCAGGTGGCTTGAACGAGATGGATAAGAGGACGGCGACTATAAAATGTGGCCAGGGAACATGTTTTAACTGCTTGTCTTGATTATTCGCCCTTCAGTGCTTTGGTTACCTTACCTTACTTTAAAGACACTATGATCCATCGTGTACGTCATTCAACGCATAACGCATCCCTCCCCAAATCCACACGTCGGAATGGCGTCCGAATTGATCGCTAGTCCCCGAGTGGAGCACCCACCGAGCCACTCCGAAGCTTTCTGTCGGTAAGGTAGTATCCTCATCAAACACGGTACACTAGTGTACATACGAATAATGAGTAGGGGCGCTAAACACCATTTCATCCCTAGTCCGTTGGCGGAACATGTCAATGTCTGCCATGTGGTACGACTACTGCGTCCCTAATACAACTCGTCATCTCAGGCTTTTTGTCGATTCCTTTTTCTCATTTTGGCTGGCCGTGAAGATCTCGACAGTCTCCCGCTCGGAAGACGAAATCAGTTGGTGGTATCACCTCTCTCCTCAGTGCCATTGTCGTATTGTTGTTGTTTGGTGTTGTGCTGTTCGTCAGATCATAAACCAAATCCTCAAGTATCTTGCCGTGGGTACTAAACATCGTCTAATCAATAACATAGTTCTTTGAAAACTGGCGTTGTGATTCAATGAGCCTCCAGCACCTCCTAGTTCACATTCATATAGCATTGCAGGGTTCGTCTTGAAGGTAGACGTAATCGGCACTGAGACTGCGTTGCCATTTTGTTTCATAGGTTTACCGGATGATTAAGCAGACAATTCAAAAGATGTTCAGCTGCTTCTCGTCGATTCCGTTGAAATGGGTCTTTGATCGTAGCAACTTCTTCCATGCTTCCTCCTACAAGGCGTTCCCGCTGTCAAAGCTTGGCCAAATTGCCGAATTAGATGGGTGGAACCCATAGGCCAATGCATAGGCCAACGGGAGCACGTCCCTAAGGTAATCAACGCCAGACACAGTACCGCACAGTAATAAGTAAGGTAGCTAGGTAGCTACTGTGTCTGTCATGGAAGTACCCATTGACGTAGATTAGGTGTGCATGTACGTCTAGAGGCTCCCTGTGACGCGTTCCTTTGCACAACGCTTCAAAGTGGGGCAACCCGTAATTAAGTTACGGCACAACTCCGCCCCCACTGCCTCCCAAGAACAACCGCTGCCTAAACATCCCGACAGTGGACTTCCCAGATATCAAACCACCTTTGGTCATGCAAGGCTGAGGGCGCCTTGCGCTTCCCGACAACACAGCGTCCACACTGTCAACACGAACAACCAGGATTCTTTCAACTAGCCGATTCTTGAGCTCCCCGGTCATATTCCATCGAGAGCTGGTCCCGCGATAGTCTATCCCCGGGTCGATCTGTCAAGAATTCCGGCTTGTTCGCACCGTCGCGTCGAACATGCCGGGCCTCACAATAGTCCCCGATTCGATGTCAGGACGAGGACCGGGAGGGCACTCATCGACGCAACAGCCCCAATCACCTCCGCGCTCAGCATCTCCCACGCGTCCTCCCGTGAGTCCCATCACGCCCACCCTATCATCCGCCCATCTCTCCTCGGCCCGTTTCCGTCCCAGTTCTCCACCACCACACCCTCCACCCTCGTCGCAGTCGCAGCCGCAGCCGCAACCACAGGCACAACCCCAGCAACCTCGACCCGAACCCCCTTCCTTCGCCGCCAGCCGCCAAACATACACCCACGCCCGCCTCGTCCCAGACGCAAACGCGACCGCCATCCCCCCGCCAGCCCCCACCCCCCTCGACTTCGACTCCAACCCGGACGTCCTAGCCCTGCAATCCGCCATCTCCATCCTGCAGATGCAGCGCCAGCGCGCCACCAACGACATCCGCGCCCTAGGCGCCGCCAAAGACGCAGCCATCGCCGACCCGGCCGCCTTCCTCGCCGATCTCACCTCGGGCCGCATCCGAAACCAGTCCGACCCCCTATTCGCAGCCGCTGCTCCCGGGAGTGCCCCCAAAGGAGGGGGAGGAGGGGGAGGAGGCGGCGGCTCTTCGTCCTCTTCTTCCGACGATGACGACGACGACGACGACGACGACGACGACCAAATGGACGTAGACGGTCGCCCCCCCGCAAACCACCCCCAAAGGAAAAAGAAACAACAACAACAACAACAACAACAACAACGCAACAAAAACGGCAACACCGCTACACAACCCGCCCCACCACCCCCCTGGACCGACCTGCCCCGACCACAAAACGTCGTCCGCTGCCCCCCGATCAACTGGTCCCAGTACGCCGTCGTCGGCGAGTCCCTCGACAAGCTGCACGCCGAGCAGCTGCGCTGTCCCAGCCAGGGACAGCCCGCCGTCGTCATGGCGCCCGGCGGGACCTACGATTTCCGGGCCGCGGGCGACGCCAACCCGACCGAGTTTGTCGGCGTCGCCGCCCCCTACACGCCCGGGAAGGATAAGATCGAGAAGAAGCCGCGAGGGGGGCCTAGACGTTGAATGGAAGGGGAAGAGAGGGCGGGAACCTTTTCGCCCCTCGGGGAATCACAGCCTGGCAATCTACGTGGTTACGTATCACTTCTAGTGACCGGAACTGTAAAAAGTACATACGGGCAACGGAGTCATGAAGATTATGAAAATATGAAAATACATACGCTGAGATATGAACGCCGTTGACAAGGCGTTCCGGGTTGCCATCCGGGTTGCCATCACAGTCCTCCTCTATATGAGTCTCCCACGAAGGGCTGGCTACAGCTGTCGAAGTGGCCTCTTATTTCCCAGTTGTGCATCAACATTAGCTCGATTTTTTATCACATGAAAGGGCAATATTGATACCGAGCTCGCGGCGTGGTACCAACGTTCGTCTAAGAAATCATGCCCCTCCCAGTCATCTCCTCTCTTCCTAGGTATCTTATCCAGGGTATGCAGAAGCCAGGCCTGAACGCCCCAAGCGCGATTCCCGATCCTAATTGCTCCCTGTAACACAGAAAGCGCGGTGTGAATCCCCTGCTCCGTGAAAAACAAAAACAAAAACGAAAACGAAAAAAAAAAATCTGGTTGCTTTGTTGCCGAGTTGAGTAAGCGCCCCTCTCCCCATTTCCCGCCCCTTTTCGCCTGTGTTTGGTGGCTTCAGACGCGAGTAGCTACGCTCTATGATGAGCTTACATCAGTGCCGCTGAGGTCATCTATCAACCGAATTCAGTAGTCCCTATACACGCTTGTGAGTTGTGATGTCGCAAGAAGAAAAAAAAAAAAAGAAAAAAAAAAAGACTTACTCAAGGCTCTTCTGAACCGACCTCCTAAGGCGCCGGTTGTAATTCTTCTTCCCGTCCGGTCCGCCCCAGAATAGATTATGCGCCTCCAGGTTGACTATGGTCCGAGGATCGTAGGCGGGATCATCTTCCTCTATGCTGGCGAAGACGGCCTCCATGTGCGACTGCAGGTCCTCCTTCCGTAACGGGTTGGGGAAGTAGCAGACGGTGCCATCTAGGGCGATCCGGTGGTGGAAAATCTTCGTCTCGAACCGAACCCGAGGCTGCTCCTCTGGGAATTGGGGGCTGAAGTGAAGTCTGATCTTGAACAGCCCTCCGTCGAGATTCGTCATGGGTCGGCCGAAGTAGGTGAGAGCCCATACGAACGGATTGCCGTCCTCGAGTTGCAGGTCATGGGGGATGTCTTGCCGCTTGAACCATTGGACCACCTGCTCGTACTGGTGTTGTAGGTTCACGGCGACGGTGGACTCATTGGCCTTGGCTTCGAGTCCCGCGCGGGCCCATTGCTCCAGTTCGGCGTCAAGGGCGGCCTTGATGTTGTGCAAGCGACGCTCGAGGTCGGTATAGTTAAACCGACCCTCCATAGAGTTGCTCGACCCCTCAAAGGGCATGCGGACAAACGGCTCATGATCCTTCACTTCCGTTTTCGCCTTCTGAATAGCATGAAGGTACGAATCGTAATACCACAGAAACCTCCGTTTGCAGAGGTCCTTGAAGGGTTCGAAGGGAAGTGATGATTCGTCTACGTCAACCAGTTCATCATCGGCCTCGTCCTGATCAGCCGCGGTTTGCTGCACGACCTTCTGGCCATCTGGCGTCAATCCTAGATAGTCTTCCAGCCGTTGAATGACAGAGATGCGAAGGGTCTCGTGGCGAATCTACAAGGTTGGGTGAAGTCGGTAAACCGTCAGCTGAACCCATTGTAATGGAAGGGCATGGCATGTGTCACTGACCTTTTGAACGTAGTCCCTTTGGTTCTTCTTGTCCGCAGGCTCATTCGCCTCTTCAAAGCCTGGTTCGTTCTCGTAGGGGTTGCCCGACATAAGGCTCTGAATAGAGAGGAGAATCGACTCCAACCCCTGCGCGGCGGACCATTCCTCTCCTCGCTCACCGCGCCAAGTGCTACCATATTGTCAGCCCCGCGACTAGCGCTAGTTCTTCAGTATTGATTTGCCACGTACCCTAGGATAGACCTGCAAAGAATATTAGCAACGGAACCCCCGAGGCGAGAAAAAGGCGGGTACGGGAGTGGAAGGCCTACAAGCAAACCTTGCCCGACGCATAGATGTTGGGGTTAAATCGGCAGCGGCCTGCGTTGGTTGTGACGGCGGTAACATTCGGTGATTTCCCCGGATAATCTGCTACACCGTTAGCAGCCAAGCAGCGGTCATGGGATCGTGGCCGATCGAACAAACCCTTGCCGAATTTGAAGGAGAACTGCACGCTGGTTAGCACATGATATACCTGCAAGACATGCGCCGCATCTGCCATGCGAGAGCAAAAGGACTGTTCGATTGCAACAGATGCGACCACAACTGCCCATACCTCGAAGAAGCCGAACTCGTACGGCGCGTCGTGAGGGCCAATGATCAAGGCACGAACGTTCCGGACATCGATATCTCTGCAGGCGACGGCGAGGGCTAAGCCGAACAAACAAAGTCAGAGGATTTCATGGCGCAGATGTTTCGGAAATTCGAGGGGGTCGTACACAGATCCGACGATCGTTGGATATCACTCAGCTCCTGTTTGACACGGCGATTGTCAGCGTGGACTCTCCTTGCTACGCGCGCGAAGGAGTATGCGAATAGAGGCTGACCTTGGTGATCCGAATGATGGATTGATCCGCCATGATGACTGCCACGGACCACGCTGCTGGCGAGATGGGCCAGGGACAGTCACGTTATTCTGAAGTTGACAGGGACGACGCGTGTGTAGGTAAGATAGGTACTGAACAGTCAATGCTTAAAATGTGAGTAGGGAAGGCCGTATTGTTGAATGAATGGTGACAGGAAGGAGAGTGGGAAAGGAAGGAGTTGATTCCCTCTGAGGCTGGGATGGGAAAGTGCTGTATCACAAGGCTTTGGCGGGGTAGCAGGCAGGCAGGAGGCGGGGCAGATGGGGCATGGGGTGAACTGTAACGACGTACCTAAAGAGACATCCGAAGACTGTTTTGAGCGGTTCAGTTAGGTATACCATCGGTACCTTGGGCAAGTGCCGGCTTGGGAGATACAACTAAATATAGCCCGTTCTGTTAATCCACTCGGATGCACACAGGAAAGAAAGGAGGCAGAAGGAAACTTCAGCTTGCGGCCCACCAGTGGCTGTCAGAAACCGATTTCGACAGCAGATAAAAAGCCCGGTGCTTATGGTCTAGAAGGACCGCAGGATGCTGACTGCCTTGTATTGAGGAGTTCCCAGGAGATATTGTGAGGGACATGCTAGACACATGGTCGATGCCTGAACCAACGGTGCCATATGATCAAATACCAGGTAGGTACTTTGGGTAATTCATAATACAAGACGATACCTTACCTACCTACCTTACGGAGTAATTACGGAGTGTGGAGACTGAGATGCTAGGTACCTGCCTAGTCTTCGTTAGCATGTGTGCTTCGGCTGGTTTGGCGCATTGGTGGGGTCCGTTGTAGGAGCTGTACGAGTACCTCGAGAAGTACTTTGTACCTAAGGTATCTACATCTAAGGTATCCTGCTTTCTGGCGCGACCCTTTCCCACGCGTAAATGGATTTCAGACCGCGTCCTCAGATCCAGCTCGACTGAGATCAATTCAACGACACACCCAAAACGCGCCCTATCTTACCATTAAACCATAGACGACCTGAAAAAGTGCGTACAGATTCGACAAACGAAACGCTGTCCCGCAACGATGGCGAATTTCTTCGACATCAAAGCTAGGAAACAGGCTGCCGCTGCCGGCATCTCTACCCAGAAACAAGACAAATCATCACAACCACCAAGAGCGCAGCCTTGGGTTGAAAAATAGTTTGTTCTCTCTTTCTCTAGGCCATGATGTTCATTCCTTTGATTTATCTGACTATATTCAACTTAGCCGGCCGAAAACCCTCAACGATGTCACCGCCCAAGACCATACCATCACCATCTTACAGAGGACGCTACAAGCTTCGAACGTATGTCCAGCTTCAAGTCAATGACATGGAGCAACGCTAATGTATGTATGATAGCTTCCACATATGCTTTTCTACGGTCCTCCAGGTAAGTCTTGATTTTGCTCCCTTCCGAATCCACAACGGATACCCTGAAACAACTCCGGGCAGCAGGCTAACACAATGGGCCATCCCAGGTACCGGCAAAACCTCTACCATCCTCGCCTTGGCGAAAGAACTCTACGGCCCCGAAATGATCAAATCCCGCGTCCTCGAACTCAACGCCTCAGACGAGCGAGGCATCTCCATCGTGCGCGACAAGGTGAAAAACTTCGCGCGCATGCAACTCACCAACCCCACGGCCGAGTACAAGAAGCGATACCCCTGCCCGCCGTTCAAGATCATCATCCTCGACGAGGCCGATTCGATGACCCAGGACGCCCAGAGCGCCCTGCGCCGGACCATGGAAACCTACAGCAAAATCACCCGGTTCTGCCTCATCTGCAATTACGTCACCCGCATCATCGACCCCCTGGCGAGCCGATGCAGCAAGTTCCGCTTCAAGAGCCTGGACGAAGAGAATGCGCGGAAGAGGTTGGAGGAGATTGCGGAGAAGGAGGGCGTGCTTCTCGAGGAGGGCGCCGTGGATGCGCTTATCAAGTGCAGTGAGGGTGATCTGCGGAAAGCCATTACCTTTTTGCAAAGTGCGGCGAGGCTGGTCGGAGCGGTGGCCGTGGATGGGGATGCGGGCAAAGACCGGGATGGAGATGCGGCAATGGATGTGGACAGAAAGCCCGTTACGGTCAGGATCGTCGAGGACATTGCTGGTGTCATCCCTGATCAGACCATCGATTGTTTGGTGAAGGCCATCATGCCGCAGAGATCCGGCGATACCTACCAAGCTATTGCCAAGGTCGTCGAGGACCTGGTTGCAGATGGGTGGAGCGCAACTCAAGTCGTGTCCCAGGTATGTTCATTCTATGCGCTCATCTCGATATTTCTTTTTGTCTCCCGCCTCGCCTAACACACATGCAGTTATATCAAAGCATTGTTTTCGATGAGATGATCCCAGACATTCAGAAGAACCAGATTGTCCTGGTCTTCTCGGAAGTCGATAAGCGTCTCGTGGACGGCGCCGATGAGCATCTATCAATTTTGGATCTCGCCCTAAGAATATCGGGTATCCTTGCAGGTCGCGGTTAAATTCTCAATATCACATCATAGGTCCAAAGCCATAAGGGGGACTGTATGTCCAATTGGCGAAAAGTTATGTGCAAGGGCGTTCGTGTTTGACCATTTATTCAGGGAGCCAGATGGGGATTATTCTGCTGCCACCCTGCTTCACATAGCTCTCTCATCATCTGGCCAGGGACTTGCCGCTGATGAGGCCAAGCTTCCCATCCAAAATAGACCAAGGGTCATCCAACACAGCTGGGGCCGCTCTTTTGCGCTCCATGTGCTTCTTCCGTCCCCGTTTACCGTCTTGTTCGCCCGTCAACCAGATATCGTCTTCCCCCTCCTCCCCACCGTCTGCCGTCTGCCCCTGCCCATCGCCGACTTCGGCGTTGTTCCCCTCGCGTTTGCGACCAAGGAGCTGGTCAATATCGTGAAGAGCCTTCATAGAGCCCTCCAAAGCCAATTGACCTTCCTCGATCTTCTCCGCCGCCGCCTCCAGCGTCGCAATCTTGGCCGTGTCGGCCGCAATGACCCAGGGCTTGACGAAGCCGGTGGTATCTGGCTTTTCCGCCGCCCCAGACGCCGCGGATGCCGCAGCGATGTGGTCACCAAAGCCGGGCTTGGACCTCACCGCTGCTATCGCGCGCGGAACAGTCGAGCCATGAGTGGGCAAGAGTTGGCTTTCTTCGGCTAGATGGTCCAGCATTTGCCGTGTGTCCTTGACCTGCTTGGCCAGCGAAGCCTGCAGATGGGACTTGTGTTGGATCATGCCTTTTTGCTGTCGCGAGAGGTGGAGGAGTCGCTCTAGGTAGGGTATCATGAGATGCGTTGCGGGGGCGGGAGTATCGTCTTCCTCGGCTGCCGCCAGCGTATGTGCAGGCTGCTGCTGCTGCTGCTGAGTAATGGTCGGTTTCAATGTCGGGAGCGGTTTTTGTGATACGAGCGTCAGTAACGACTTGCGTGCGGCTACGTATCGGGCGTATTTCTCCTTGATCTCGGCGAGCTGGGCGGTCGTGTCCGTTTGTGGCTCCGCGAGGCGTTGCCGGCGGGTTTCTCGCTCGGCCTCCTCCTCTTCCGCGGTCTCGCCTGACGCCTTGCTTAGTTCCGCTTCGATCCAGTTGATGAGCTCGTTTCGGGTTACGTTGAGAGCGTGTAGTTTGGCTCCGACGCTGATGTTGGCCATAAGGGGCTGCGTCCCGGCTCTCACGTCACTGAGCAGTTGTTGTTCCCTCCGCAGCTGGAGCTTGGACCGGAGCACGACCTTCTCCAGTTGATCGATAAGGCCAGATAAATCCTCCTTTAAGGCGCTGGTGCTTATACCGAAGCCTTCCATGACCTCTCTTGGTACGTCGGGAAGGCCCCAAGCATCCAGGAAGAGATGATCCGGACTGAGAAATTCTTGCGACGCAGCGGGCTGCTGCACCAGGGTGTCGAGATACTTTTGGAGGGTGGACAGCTTCTCATGTTTCTGCCGCAGCTTCATCATGGCGAGGTGGTTTTGAATGTAGTCCGGGGCATTGTCCTTAGGACTCGTACTCGTGCTCCTCTGTGGTGTGGTTCTCTTACGAAGCTCGGCGTATTCACGACGGGCCCTAATATTGTCGTGAGCGGCCCTGAGATATTCCCTTTGCAAACCCTGTATATCGTCTCGTCGCTGGGCCTGGCTAGATGCATCGAGGAGCGATAGGGGGGGTTGTAAGTCCTCGGTCTGACGATGTCGCTGCAAGTGTATCGCCAGGACACGTCTAATGTAAGCGACCTCTTCTCTCGGTTTAATATACGGCTCCAAAGCAGCCTTCGTCTTCTGAATTATTTCCGGTTCTGAGTCCATTGTGCAGGTTGTGCAGATTGGAGCGAGTGTCGTTCATCTGAACAGAATGACCTGCACATGCAGCTCAGACCGAGCGGTGAGATGCGTTGAGATTAAGACACCGCTTGTAGGAGTTCTTATGAGAACGCGACGTCCGGAGTTGGCCTAAAGAAAGGAAATCGGATCGCACCAGAAACCCCCTAAGAGTTCGCTTATAATAGCTAGAAGGCACAAGACGGAGGGGTCAAGTCAGCTACGTATAAATCAGTGTGTTGTGTCTGAAATCGAAGCTCTGGGTGCCCGGTGTGTTGAAGGTAAGGTACGGATGCACAAGTACCTGCTGCACCACGCACAGGAAGCTACCGATTGGCTAATCCCACGAAGCCATATTGACCAATGGCTGCGTCGCTTCCATTTCAGAGAACTGTGGCGTTATGTGGCTTGTACAGCAACCGACACGTGACCAGGCGCCTTGTAATGATGTAGGGTAGGTAGGTGCAACGGGGCAACCAATCTTTTGCCTTTTGAGGTCCCATCTTTTTTTCCACCTCGATTTCTCGCGGGCAACATCTCAATTGCCTGGTCTTTTCAGTCTTTCATCCTCACCTCCAACCTTACTCTACACGCTCCGACGCGCACGCATATTTGGGTTTCGGCACAGGGTTCGCCGCTTTGAGCGAATTCCCTGAATTCCTTCATCCCCCCCAAGTCAAAACCGACCCATGGAAGACGGTGAATCCGGAAATCAGCAATCATGTCGAACCCACAACGCGACATCTCCCAGTACAAGTACTCGGCCATGTCCAACCTGGTTCTCCAGGCGGACCGGCGTTTCGTCTCTAGGCGAAACGACGAGCCGACGGGCGACCCCGAGTCACTTGCTGGGAGGTTAAGTATTCGCGACATGGGCAATCGTGTCGCCCGTGACGCGGCCCCCAAACAGAAGAAGGCGCCAGGCCTGCCCGAAGTCGAACGCGGCGGATTGCAAGAGGGCGAAGATGTGCTTTTGCGCGAGCAACGGAAAAGGAAAGCCGATGCGGCGCAACTCAGAGGGACTGGCGTCCTGGGAACGACCGACTTTGCCATCGAGGGCCTCACATACCGACCACGCACCCCCGCCACCCGGGCCACGTACGAGCTGATCTTGAAGATCGTTGCCGACAATCTTGGCGATGTACCACAATCGGCCGTGTTGAGCGCAGCAGACGTCATCTTGGAGTTCCTCAAAGACGATGACCTCAAGGACAGCGAGAAGAAGAAGGAGGTGGACGATATGCTAGGGGTATCTCTCAATCCCAAGCAGTTCAACGAACTTGTCAACCTAGGCAAGAAGATCACCGACTACGATGCACAAGACGAGGACGAGAACATGCAAGATGGCACGGCAGAAGAGGCGGATGGCGACATGGACGACCGGCAAGGTGTGGCTGTCGTGTTCGAAGACGAGGACGACGACGAAAACGCCATCACCCATGAAGTCCGGGACGTGTCATCAGAAGAGGAAGATAATGCAGACGAGGGGGAGGAGGAGGATGAGAATAAACCGGACTCTGGAGAGGATGCCGACGAGCCAGGACTGGGCGACGACGCCATGGTCATCGACTCAGCCCAGACCAAAAATGCGAAGGAAGGAAAAGAGACGAGGATAGTCCCAGCAAGGGACGTCGATGCCTTCTGGTTACAGAGACAGATCGGAAAGCTCTATTCGGATCACCACGAACAGGTCGACAAAGCGACAGAAGCGCTCCGCATCCTATCGGGAGAGCCGGACGAACCGGGGGGCGAGGAGAAGCCGCTTCGGGAGATCGAGAATGACCTGATGGAGCTCTTTGACTACGAACACCACACCTTGGTGCAACTTCTGATCGAGAACCGGGAAAAGGTGGTCTGGCTCACGCGTCACGCCAAAGCGGATACGGATGAAGACCGCGCGGCAATCGAACGGGAGATGGCCTCCGAAGGTCTTCAATGGATCCTCAACGAAAAGTACGGTCGCAAGTCCGCTGATCAGAAGTCTCGGAAGATCGACATCAAGATGGATATTGATGTTCCGCCCGAGGTGGCGGGCCAATCGGCACCCAAGCCTGAACGCCCGGAGGCGGGACAGCTGGTCGGAGGGTTGCAACCGCGGAGGCTTATCAACCTCGACAACCTGGTTTTCGACCAGGGTAACCATCTCATGACCAATCCCAAGGTTCGGCTACCCGAAGGCTCGACGAAACGGACATTCAAGGGTTACGAAGAGATCCATGTGCCCATCCCCAAGAAGCCAGCCGACCGGACCCAAGGGCTGATCCCCATCACCGACATGCCGGAGTGGTCTCGGGTTCCGTTTGGCACGACAAAAACCCTAAATAAGGTCCAGACCAAGTGCTTCCCCACCGCTTTCGAGGACGACGGGAACATGCTCATCTGTGCTCCCACGGGCAGTGGGAAGACCAATGTGGCCATGCTCACCATCCTCCGGGAGATTGGCAAGAACCGCAATCCGCAGACGGGAGAGATCGACCTGGATGCGTTCAAGATCGTTTACATCGCCCCGTTGAAGGCCCTCGTCCAGGAACAAGTTGGCAACTTCGGCAAACGTCTTGAGCCGTACGGGATCAAGGTGTCCGAGTTGACGGGTGACCGACAACTTACCAAGCAGCAGATCTCGGAGACGCAGATCATCGTCACGACTCCTGAGAAGTGGGACGTTATCACCAGAAAGGCCACTGATCTCACCTACACCAGCCTTGTGCGGCTCATCATTATTGATGAGATCCATCTGCTCCATGACGAACGTGGTCCCGTCATTGAGAGCATTGTGAGCAGGACGATTCGAAAGACGGAACAGACCGGCGAGCCAGTTCGCCTTGCTGGTCTGTCAGCGACCTTGCCGAACTACCGAGACGTCGCCAGCTTCCTTCGCGTCGATACAGCAAAAGGGTTGTTCCACTTTGACAGCTCCTACCGGCCTTGCCCCCTGCGCCAGGAATTCGTCGGTGTGACGGATCGCAAGGCGATCAAGCAGCTCAAGACGATGAACGACGTTACCTACAACAAAGTGATAGAGCATGTTGGGCAGAACCGGAATCAGATGCTCATCTTCGTCCACTCGCGCAAGGAGACGGCGAAGACGGCGCGGTATATCCGCGACAAGGCGCTCGAGCTGGACACCATCAACCAGATCTTGCGCCATGACGCCGGCAGCCGCGAAGTTCTCAACGAGGCCGCGAGTCAGGCGACCGACAGGGAGCTCAAGGATCTCTTGCCCTACGGTTTCGGTATCCATCATGCTGGCATGAACCGAATCGACCGGACGGACGTCGAAGACTTGTTTGCCCGAGGCGCCATTCAGGTTCTTGTCTGCACCGCGACCCTTGCCTGGGGTGTCAACCTACCCGCCCACTCCGTCATCATCAAAGGCACGCAGGTGTACTCCCCCGAGAAGGGTAGCTGGGTTGAGCTCAGCCCCCAGGATGTTCTGCAGATGTTGGGGCGTGCTGGTCGGCCCCAGTTCGACACGTATGGCGAGGGCATCATCATCACCACGCAAAGCGAGATCCAATACTATCTGTCCTTGCTGAACCAGCAGCTACCGATTGAGAGTCAGTTTGTCAGCAAACTGGTGGACAACCTCAACGCCGAGATTGTCCTGGGTAACGTGCGGTCGAGAGATGAGGGCGTCGAATGGCTCGGCTACACGTACCTCTTCGTCCGGATGCTGCGCTCGCCGGGGCTGTACCAGGTTGGTGCCGAGTACGAGAATGATGAGGCGTTGGAACAGAAGAGAGTAGACCTCATACATTCCGCGGCTTCCGTCCTCAAGAAATCCAACCTCGTCAAGTACGACGAGAAGACGGGCAGGCTTCAGGCGACGGAACTCGGGCGTATCGCCTCCCATTACTACATCTCGTACGGTTCTATGGATACGTATAACAACCTCATCCAGCCCTCCATCACCACCATTGAACTTTTCCGAGTCTTCTCTCTCAGCGCCGAATTCAAATACATCCCTGTCCGACAGGACGAGAAGCTCGAGCTGGCGAAACTGCTGGGCCGTGTGCCCGTCCCGGTCAAGGAGAGCATCGAAGAGCCTCACGCCAAGATCAACGTCCTTCTCCAAGCGTACATCTCCCGACTCAAGTTGGAAGGCCTCGCTCTCATGGCAGACATGGTATACGTCACGCAGTCGGCAGGTCGTATCTTGCGTGCGATTTTCGAGATCACGTTGAGGAAAGGCTGGGCCTCGGTAGCGAAGACGGCGCTGGACCTTTGCAAGATGGCCGAGAAGCGCATGTGGCCGACCATGTCGCCGCTGCGCCAGTTCCACACCTGCCCTAGAGAGATCATCCAGAAGGCCGAGAGGATGGAAGTGTCCTGGGACAACTACTTCGACTTGGATCCGCCGCGGATGGGCGAACTGCTGGGGATGCCCAAGGCCGGGAGGACGGTGTGTGCGCTTGTTGCCAAGTTCCCCAGGCTCGACGTGCAGGCCCAGGTACAACCCCTGACCAGGTCGATGCTCCGCGTTGAGCTCAGCATCACACCCAACTTTGAATGGGACGACGACCTCCATGGTCCCGCCGAGAGCTTCTGGATCGCGGTGGAAGATTGCGACGGCGAGGACATTCTATACTACGACCAGTTCCTGCTGCGCAAGGAGTACGCAGTCTCCGAGTCCAACGAGCACATCGTCGACTTTACCGTCCCCATCACCGACCCGATGCCGCCGAATTACTTCATCTCCGTCATCTCCGATCGCTGGATGCACTCCGAGACGAGGCTTCCCGTGTCGTTCCACAAGCTCATCCTCCCCGAAAAGTTCCCTCCTCACACCGAACTTCTCGAACTCCAGCCCCTGCCCGTCTCGGCCTTGAAAGTCAAGGAGTACGCGAGATTGTATCCAGACTGGGACCACTTCAATCGCATCCAGACGCAGACATTCAAATCTCTCTACGAAACCGACCAGAACGTGTTCGTCGGCGCACCCACCGGGAGCGGCAAGACGGTTTGCGCCGAATTTGCGCTGATGCGCCACTGGTCGAAGCAGAATAATACGGCTGCAGACGGCCAGGCTGGACGTGCGGTGTACATCGCGCCTTACCAAGAATTGGTTGATATCCGCCTGGAAGACTGGCGGAAGAGGCTCGGCCCGCTGCGCGGCGGCAAGACGATCGAGAAGCTCACGGGCGAGACCGCGACGGACCTGAAGATCCTGAAGTCGAGCGATCTGATCCTCGCGACGCCGATCCAGTGGGATGTGCTCTCGCGGCAGTGGAAGCGGCGGGTCGAGGTGCAGACGGTGGAGCTGTTCATCGCCGACGAAATTCATCTGCTGGGCGGCCAGCAGGGGTACATCTACGAGTCGGTCGTGTCGAGGATGCACTACATCAGGATGCAGACGGAGCGTCCCATGCGTATCGTCGCCTTGAGCGTGTCCCTGGCCAACGCGAGGGACCTCGGCGAGTGGATTGATGCCAAGAAGCATGATATTTACAACTTCAGCCCTCACGTCCGAGCCGTTCCCCTCGAACTTCACATCCAGTCGTACACGAACCCGCACTTCCCGTCGTTGATGCTTTCCATGGCTAAGCCTACATACTTGGCCATCACGCAAATGTCACCCGACCGACCTGCTCTGGTCTTCGTGCCGAGTCGCAGGCAGACTAGGGCGACGACACGGGACCTCCTAGCCACCTGTTTCGCCGACGACGACGAAGACCGGTTCCTGCACGCCGATGTCGAGCAGATGCGGCCGCTCCTCGACCGAATCAACGAGGAGGCGCTGGCGGAAGCGCTCTCGCACGGTATCGGGTACTACCACGAGGCCCTGAGCCAGAGCGACAAGCGGATCGTGAAGCATCTCTACAACCACGGCGCCATCCAAGTGCTCGTCGCATCTCGGGATGTGTGCTGGGAACTCGATTGCACGGCTCATCTGGTGGTGGTGATGGGCACGCAGCACTTTGACGGGCGCGAGCATCGCTACGTCGACTACCCGGTGAGCGAGGTGCTGCACATGTTCGGCAAGGCGCTCCGGCCGGGCAAGGACGGCAGAGGTCGCGGTGTCCTGATGGTGGCGGCGGTGAAGAGGGAGTACTACAAGAAGTTCCTGAACGAGGCGCTGCCCGTCGAGTCTCACTTGCACAACTACCTGCACGACGCGTTCGTGACGGAGATCAGCACGCGGCTGATCGCGAGCGGCGAGGACGCCATCAACTGGACGACGTTCACGTACTTTTACCGGCGACTGCTGGCGAACCCCAGCTACTACAACCTCACGGACACGACGCAGGACGGCCTCAACGACTACATGTCGGACCTCATCCAGACGACACTCACAGAACTGCAAGAGTCCAAGATCATCGAGCTCGACGACGACGACGGCACGGTGATCCCGCAGAACGCGGCGATGATCGCGGCGTACTACAACATCTCGTACATCACGATGCAGACGTTCCTGCTGTCGCTGAGCGCCAAGACGAAGCTGAAGGGCATCCTGGAGATCGTGACGTCGGCGACCGAGTTCGAGGCGATCCAGATCCGGCGGCACGAGGAGGGCATCCTGCAGCGCATCTACGACCGGGTGCCGGTCAAGATGGCGCAGCCGGCGCCCGACTCGCCGCACTTCAAGGCGTTTGTGCTCCTGCAGGCGCACTTCTCGCGGATGCAGCTGCCGATCGACCTGGCCAAGGACCAGGAGGTGATCGTGTCCAAGGTGCTGAGCCTGCTGAGCGCGACGGTGGACGTGTTGTCGTCGGACGGGCACCTCAACGCGATGAATGCGATGGAGATGTCGCAGATGGTGGTGCAGGCCATGTGGGATCGCGACAGCCCGCTGAAGCAGATTCCTCACTTTACGCCCGAGGTTGTTAAGGCGGCGAACGAGTTTGGGTATGTTTTTGCCTCCGCCCCTTTACCTATTCTTCCTTTGAGAAAGAAAAAAAAATAGAGCACAAGCAAGCGGAAACTGACAGGGTGGCGCACCGCTTTAGAATCAAGGACATTTTCGACTTCATGGAGGCGATGAATCCCGAAGAGAACCCGGACTACGCGGCGCTGATCAAGAAGCTGGGGCTGGACCAGAAACAGCTCGCGCAGGCGGCCCACTTCACCAACGACAAGTACCCGGACATCGAGATGGAGCACGAGGTGCTCGACGAGGACGAGATCCGGGCGGGCGACCCGTCGCAGATCAACGTGACGATCCAGCGGCAGCTGGAGGAGGGCGACGAGTTCGACCCGACGGTGCACGCGCCGTTCTACCCGGCTAAGAAGCTCGAGAGCTGGTGGTTGGTGGTGGCGGAGGAGAGCAGCAGGAGCGTGCTGGGGATCAAGCGCGTCACGGTGGGGAAGACGTTCCAGGGCAAGGTCGAGTTTATTGTCCCGACGGCTGGGAAGCACGATCTGAAGCTCTTCCTGATGAGCGACAGTTATGTCGGCGTGGATCAGGAGAGGGAGTTTTCGGTGGAGGCGGCGGAAGGGATGGATGTCGACGAGGACGAGGAGGAGGAAGACGAGGAGTAGGAGGAGGAAGAAGAAGACGAGGAGTAGGAGGAGGAAGAAGAAGACGAGGAGTAGGACGGCAATGCAAAAGAAGAAGAAGGGGGTTCTTTCCTTTTCTCTCGAAGCCGGGCTGGGGGTCGACTGGCAATTTTGGTGGCGTGTACAGTATGGGCGTTATATTGGGAAACAATTTATATTTCGCAAAGAAAAGGATCATCTTGAGAACGCGCTTTCATGTTGTGATTGGGACATGTTAGGAGGTTTGAGCCCGAGTTGTGCAGACTCTGGGTGGCGAGGGGAAGTTAAGAGGAGGCGGAAGTTAAGAGGAGGGGGGTTAAGAGGCGAGGGAAGATGTGCCTCCATACCCTGTCTGATGGCTTCACAAGAGGACTGATGGTACTACGAGTGGTACTACGGTACTGAGTACGGATACGAAACCATATGAACGGATACGTGGAAAGAGGTATTCATGGCTGGGATGGCAGCCAGCAGCCTGACTTGGCCTCTTGTTGCAGGTACTTCCAGAGTAAATTGCCCAGTACCACCATCAATAGCCAGTCAATTCTCACCGAGTCACACTACCAAGTGCAAAAGTCCAAGTGGATCGACAATCAATGTAAGCAGGTCACGTGCCTTATGCTATTTTTCGTCATCAACCAGTACGAATCCATATTAAGAACGCCTCTGCTCTTTCCTGCGACGCGGAGTTTGGCTACATTACTTACAACGTACATTACACCTTCTCCGTACGTACTCGCTGTCGTTGGACAAGGCAAGACAAGACCGACCTTCTAGACTTTCTCCTCACTTTTTCATATTTTCTTAGTCGGCTTACCCTTTTTTTCCTTTTTTTTTTCCTTCTTTAGCCACCACAATACTTCGTCCTTTCTCATCACATCAACATCCCATCCCTCCCCACCCACCCACACCACATAAAGAAGGTGCTCTTGCTGAATCCTTTACCGCGCACCAATCTCAACCATCAACAACCTCTGCCAATCCATCGCACACTTTTCACTGCCACTTGTCGCAACATTTGTGCATTCAAACATTTTGCGCGCGTTAAGACGCGTTCCTTTGATTGCTTTTCATCCATTGGACACGTCGGTCTTTCGTTACTATCATCGTCGCGCTTGTCGTGGCCGTGATCATACGGATATCCCTTTGACGCGCAACTAGGTGCTTCAATCGGTACAGCTAGACACTATGTCTGACAAGGGAAACAGCGCGCCCGTCGCTGCTACCGAGAAGGTCGAGAAGAAGGAGGAGGGCACTCCTACTACGACGGCTGCTGCTCCCGATACTGCTGCCGACGACAACACCAAGCCGGCTGCTGAGGCGGGTGGCGACACTGAGGACGAGAAGAAGCCGGAGGGAGAAGTTGGTGTTAAGGCTGAGGCTGAGGCTGAAGAGGGCTCTGCATTCAAGGACGAGTCAAAGGTTGAGTCAAAGGTTGAGCCCAAGGAGGAGTCCACGGAAGAGGCAAAGGTGGCCGAAGGTTCGTTTCATCCTACAAATTCTACCTTCTATTGCTCTAGGATTTCCCCGATTCCGAAACACCAACATCACCCTGCTAACTCTGCCTTGCGCATTTGCAACAGCTGCTGCCGACGAATCCACTTCCAAGCCTGACGACGACAAAGACGCCGATACTGAAATGAAAGACGCCGCCCCTGCTGAAGATGGCGAGCCGTCCAATGAGGCTGTCGATGTAGCTGACGAATCGACGTTTGCCGACGAGACGATGACGGCTACCCCTGCTGGTGGAAAGTCCAAGGACCGCCGCAAGTCGAGCGCCGGCTCCGATGCCAAGGGCAAGAAGCTCAACAAGAAGTCCTCCAAGGCCAAGTTCTTCCATACCGACGCCCAGCCTGGCGACCATTTCCTCGTCAAGCTCAAGGGCTACCCTCAGTGGCCCGTCATTATCAGTGACGAGGAGATGCTCCCCGAGCCGCTCCTTCGCAGCCGGCCCGTCACGGCGAAGCGGCCTGATGGCACCTATCGCGAAGATTACGCCGACGGCGGCAGGAAGGTCAATGACCGCACTTTCCCTATCATGTACCTCTGCACCAACGAATTGTGAGTAGTGGCGTCTTCGAGCGAAACACCCCC